CCAGAGTGCTAGGATTACAGGCGTGAGCCACCGCGCCTGGCCTGTACTTTTTTAAATTAAGAAAAAATGTAATATATTAAATGCTATTGAAACAAGTGTACTATCATCAATAGAAAAAGAATCAAATCATCTTCATTAAAATATTTGTTGTATTGAGATTTTACTTTAATGAGATTTCACTAGAACTTACATTTGGGTAACATTTTGTGGTTCACTGGGTACTTCGTCATAACATGGTAAGAGATATGTCATTTGGATGTATTCCAGGATAAAGATTCTCATTTATATTATTTAAATGCTATAAATTAATACCAAAAATCAGCAGCTTGTTCTTTATTTTCAGTTTAGTATATCAGAAATCTTAATATTGCCTTGCTCATTTCTATCTTTTAGGCTAAGACATCAAGCACACAAAGAATTTTATGCCTACAAACAGGTGAGGAATTTAATTCAAGTCAACTTTATGTTTTTTCCTCAAAAACTGAGAACTTAGATGTCCACTCATACTTTAAACTTGGTCTGGAATTACTTATGTTCAGTTTAGCATTTCATCTGCCAATCTGCAGTACAAAATAGATCAACTTCATATTCTTAAGTAATCTTCCCTTTTTCATAAGTATTATTTGAAACTGTAGAAAGTTCAGATGATATAATAATATAATTTAACAGGAAACTTGAGCCAACATTGTGCTAAAGAGAAATACTATGGCTTATAATCCTTAATAGTTACTATTAACATAATGGAGTTCAGAGATACCGTAAGTGAATTTTTTCCCTCTTTCTCCATTAGAAGACAGCAGTTCCTCAGAGATGACCAGCTATGTTACAGTGATCTTACCTACTCCCTTTTGTACTTTAAATGTTGGCTCATGTTACCCACTAAAAGTCTACAAACTTGAATCATAGCTGTTAACACACTGATTTGTTCTTTTAGTTAATAAACTCAGCTTTTCTTGAAGGCCAAATAAAAGTCGTTTTTTCTTCCATGTGTTAATTAACATTTTACCACTGACATCAAACCGTGGGGCCTAAATTTTCCTTGATCCTCTTTTGACCCTAAGCATGAAATTTGTTACCTTTAGCTTTTTGGGGAGACCAGCTTCAGCTTATTTGGTCCTTTAACCTTGCTGACACTGATGTTACAGCACCATGTCACCATTTTAGGATTGCATATCTTTCTGTCCATCTTTTGTCCATGTATCTTTGAAATCTGAGCTCATTGGCACGTTCCCTAGATGTACACACTGAACTGATGTAACCCCACACTCTTCCCCATACATCTCAGGTGGGATTCATAGTCAGAGTTGAATGTTTTAGTTTTCTCAATGAATAAATCTTTCTCAGTTCTATCATAATCTTGACAACCTACAGGATGTTTGTATGTAGACAAACTAGAAAGTAAAATTGGCCTTGGCAGTCATTTAATAGTTGAAATTGACTGTTAGAACTAGTCAAGTCACAAGAGAGACAGTAAATCTGATCTTTAAAGTATACTGAATAGGAAATTTAGTAGAACATCCCTGTGTAGCTTGATGGTAGCTTCTAGTTGTGATTTCTGAAAATGTGATTTGCCCTCAAAACCATTTCTAGTTCAATAATGTAAGACACCCAAAATTTAGAGATTTTTCCCCAAATTTCATTTGCCTGTTTCTTCACTTTAAGATGAAATATAACTGCTGTGTTTATTCTCAGAAAATGTCTTAAATAGTAATCTGCCTTCTTAGCACTTGGCATTAACTTTAACTGCTGTGTAGTCACCACACAGTCAGATTAGGGACAAACCTGTATGAATTTTTAACCCATTAACATAACTCTGGGTAGAGCTAAATTTTACTGAGGACATCAATGTATAATAATAAGCAGAACTTCCAAAATTTAGATTGACTTTTTAATCTTTTTTAAATTACTAAGCAGTCAGTCCCATCAGCCAGTACTATGTTTTACTGAATCATGAGGCAATCAATTTCATTTATTTTCCCTCCATATTAGCACTTAGTCCAGAAGGGCACATATTAATGTCTTTTCCCAAAACTTAATTTACTCTCAAAGAAATTTTCAAGTTGCTTTTCAGGAGAATATTGCATCATTACTCAAGTTAAAAGAATGTTGCTAAAATGACCTGTCTCAAACTGTAAAAGAGATTCTCTCCAATATTGAATAGGGAGGAAATAACCTATTAATATATACACAAAAGAGAAAAATATTTGTGGGTATAATGAGAAATTTTTTAAATTACAGATTTAAATGGGCATACTTTTTTGTCTTACAGGTTATATTAAAAGAAAAAGTAAAAGAACTGAATTTACATGAGGTAAGTTACTTATAAGTAATTTAATCTTGAGCCATTTTCTAGTAGAAATAGTATGCTGTGGTATACTCAAACACCTTTATTTGCAGAAGTTGAAAAAAATTAGGCTCATTTTGATCAGGTTAATAGAATATTTGAGGGTGAGAGCACATAAAAATTAATTGTATGAAGGCTGTACAAGAGTAATATAAGTTAGGCACAGTAGCTCACACCTATAATCCCAGCAATTTAGGAGCTTGAGGCAGGAGGATCACTTGAGGCTAAGAGTTCAAGACCAGCCTGGGCAATATAATGAGACCCCATCTCTAAAAAAAATGGTTTTTTTAAATTATCTGAGGCTGGGCGTGGTAGCTCACACCAGCAATCCCAGCACTTTGGGAGGCCAACATGGGAGGATCACTTGAGGCCAACAGTTTGAGACCAGCCTGAGCAACATAGCAAGATCCTGTCTCTACAAAAAATAAGGAAAATTAGCTGGGCGTGATGGAACGTGTCTGTAGTCCCACCTACGTGGGAGGCTGAGGCAGGAGGATCACTTGAGCC